AAGGCGACAGTTATAAAGGAAAAAAAAAAAAAAGGAGCAGGTTGTTTTGGTTTTTTTTCTTAAAGTGGCCTCTGTTTTTCCCCACAATCACTGTCAATGAGCAAACGAAAGGCTCTGGACACACAAACAAAAAAAAAAAACCCAATACAAAAGTGCTCAAGAGCACAGAATGGGAGGGGCCAAAAATAAAGTGCCCGCACTCAGACACAAAAGACCTTCCCCTCACCTAAGTCTCTGCTCACAAAAGAGTAACTACAGATAGCTAAAAACACGGAGCAGCAGTCAAGGCATGACTTTGCACAACAGAGAGAGGCACTCATCGGTCTCCTCCTCGAAGCCGGTCCCTCTGCCCAGGGAGAGGTGTGAAAGCAAGAAGAGGGAAGACAAGCCAGCCCAAGCTGATAAGGAAGACTTGGGAAGTGGGAGCAGAGCAGCCAGCAAGGGTTGGCACTGCCAAGCTCCTACTCAAGCGAGGAGGGATGGAGGGGCAGCACCGACGTAGCCGAGCAGGGGACCCAAGGACTTCGTGTGTGTCTTGCTCCATCCTACCCTTGGCCCTCCTGCCACCCCCAGCAAGGGTGGTGGAGGAGGGCACTGATGGCCCCCACGGCAGGGGGAAGGACTGGCTTCCCCCTTACAGCCATGGGGAGGGAGAGGTGGCCCAGATGCTGCCACCTGCCAAGGTCAGGAAGTGAAGGAAAGGAGACGGGGGCCAAAAGAGGACGGCTCCGACTGTCCAGTTGGGCTCCATCACCACTAAGCACAAGTTGGAAAGGTCCCAGCATCTGGGACAGGGGCACAACATCCCCGGGGCACCCAGAACCAACACCAAGCTGGTATCCCACTCTCTGGCCTCTGAGCTCCCAGTGGAGCATATGGCAGATAGACCAGCCCTTACAGGAATTTTTTCAGAAGAGGGGTCTCCTCCCCACAGCATCCCCAGCCCAGCACCACCACACCCTACCCAGCAGAAAGGCATTCTGGTAGCCCCACAGTGCCATGGGCATACTAGGAAAAAAAAAAAACAAACAACAAAAACAACAAAAACAAACAATCAAAATCTGCAAAGTCAGACTTTGGGCATTGAGCCCAGGCTCTGCCAGAAAACTGGGAGACCTGGGAGAAGTCACCTTCTCCACCCATGGCTCCATTCCCTGCTTCAGTGAATGGATGACTGTACCGGTAAAAGGGAAAGACCAGGGAGGAGCTTTCCCCGGGCCAGCTCTAGTCTGGGCAAACACACTGGGAAGCAGGCACATGCAACGCTCCTTTTCCCTTGGAAAACCCTGAACCAGCCACCACTTTGCCGAGCAAGAACCCATCTGATGCTCCACCAGCAGCACTTCCAAGCACCCAGCTGAGCCATCTCCCCATGCCCACTCCAGGTGTTCCCACTGCCAGCTGACCATAGGGGACAGGAGGGGACCACCAAGGGATGGCTCCAAGGAAAAGCAACACTCACCTCCGGGCGATCTCTGTGGGTGTTGACGGCTTCGATATTCAGCGAGATGGATTCCACCCGGCAGCCTGCAGAGGGGAGCAAAGGAGACAGAGAGGCCATCAGCAAACCCAAAACGCACAGGGTGTTGCCCAATGCTCCACCACAAATCCCTGCTCTTCTCCCAGAGGCAGCCTGGATTCAGGAGGAGGTACAAGTCAAACCCCTCCTCACGTTTAGTAGGAAGGTCCCACTTACCGTAGGCCACCGGGGTCAGCTTCAACACCGTGTGAAGGGGACATTTCAGGTAGGGCATTTCATCTGCAGAGACAGCAAAGCAGGAGGGTTATCCCACCTCCTCTCCAAAAGCATCTTTATCAACAGCCAAGGCCACCCCACACCTAACAAGATGTATGCTCCAGGCCCACATTGACCTGAACACACCTCCGCAGAGCTGCATCCATCACCCCTCCTCCAGCAGGGTCCATCCTCTTCCCACAGACAGGGAGCTCACCTGCACTCTTGTCCAGGAAGTATGCCAGGAGACAGCGCATGACAGCCTGGTGACAGATCACAAGGACATTCTCTTGCCTCTCCAGCTCCATGATGACTGGCTCCAGGCGCTGCACCAGATCCTGGTAGGACTGGGACAAAAGACAGGAAGGAAGATGAGGCATAGACTCAAAGAAACGAGCACCTCAGGAGCAGCAATGCTCCTTGTCTTGTTACATTTACTGATTTCATGCCTCTGACCAAACTAACATAATTACTGCTAAAAACAAGTAAATCCTTATCTTCAGGCTATTCTAGAACACAGATACTTCTTCCATCAGAGAAGAAGCTGTTCCCACCTCAGTGAATCACATCTCAGTACTGGAGACTTTATTAAGGCAAGCAATAGAGGCTCTCAGGATAGCATGCCTTTTTCATCTTGAAATTTGATTTTTCTACAGGATTTCTAAGTTATGAAGAGTCTGGGGCAACCTGAGAAATGCCAGGGTTTTGAAGGACTTCATAAAGAACCATGACAGGCAGCCAGAACGAGCTCCAGAGACCCAGAGGCGGTGTCTGACATCTCCACACATTCCTCTGTTTGGAAACATCCTCATGACAGTGTATCTAAGATTTTTCCCAAATGTCTATGTCTATTTTCCCAAATGACTTTTAATTTGGGGACAAATAGCTCAATTCACAGCTTAAAGTATCATCCAGAACTGATGTAAATTCCCACCTCATTGTGTCACACCCTGAAAGCAGATTGCTAATAACAGAGCTGTTACCATCAACCCTTAGGGAATGATACTGAGAACAGGGTGAAAATTACTTTTTTTGGAAATGACAGAAAAGGAAATTGGGGCAGCACAACACTTTGAGTGGATATAATGATGGAACTTGGACTAGAAATCTCCAGAGTCCCTTTCTTACTAATCTGCTGTAAAGTCAGTGGGACTGTTTGTTAAGTGATGCATTTCTCAGTGATATCTTCACATACCACGATTTCACAAGAGCTCAGCATAGAGGTGAATATAAGCCCTGACTTTTCTCTATTCTAGTTTCTTGGAGCACTCACTACTCAAGTTTAGAGGATTGAATGAAGACAAAAAGGTCGCATTTAAAGCAGAAGTCATGTCTCCGAAGGTCTCCCTGCAGACCTACCTCCCCTGAAGGATAACGGTAGTAATATTTATCCTGATCACGCAAAGCAAATTCCTCTGGATGCTGCTCCCTGATTTCTTCATACGTCATTTCTTCACACACACCCTGCCAGAACAGGACATCCATGGTTACTGGACATACTCAGGTCAAAAAGCATCAGCACAGTCAACATGCAAAACCTTCTCGAAAGCAACTGTCCATAACCCTGTGAGGGGTCAGCAAAAGAGCAGTTCCAAGCAAAAATCATTTTAATCCACCACACTGGATGGGGCTTGGAGCAACCTGGTCTAGTGGAAGATGTCCCTACCCATGGCACAAGGTTGGAACAGATGGGCTTTCAGGTCCCTTCCAACCCAAACCATTCTATAATTCAAGACAACATTTGAACAATCTGCGGAAGGTACAACTAAGATCAAAGCCAAAAGGTGAGTCCTGCAGAGGTACCACCCTTTCCCACAGAAGGAAAATCTCCCCATGACAGCTGAGATTTAGCAGAAGCAAAGAGTCTGGTGCTATTGCTCTCTCTTGTCAAGCAACAACCAGCCTGATCCAGCTCTTCCTACTCCAATCGAAGATACTCACAGCATCAATTTCATTGAGTGCCTTCCACTGCTCGTAGGGCAACTGGAGAGCTTCTGCTGTTTGGATTGTCCTTTTTAGTTGGCTGGTCCAGACTTTGAGGTCCTTCAGGTTCTGCTCTTCTACAAATTTGTTCAGCGCCAGCGCAAACTGTGGGGCATAAAAAAAAAAAAAGGTTGATTCCTGGTCCATAGCTTCCCAATGGGCCTTCTTCCCTGCTTCCCAGTAAGTGTTGACTTCTTCAGGTCTGCTTTTGCCCTCCATAAGCAGACAGATTAGTCTTCTGCTCCGAGGTGATGAGCAGCCACACATGCAATGATCCCCAAGAAGGGGTGTGAGAACAGAGAGAAAGCAGAGGAGAAAGAGGCAACCTATTGTCTTCAAGGAACATTAGCACTCAGGAAACAGCACCATGACCTGGGCTTTCCCACAGTGTTATGGAAAATCCTTGGCCATCCTTAACCATAGCTCTGCTTATTTGCTTTCTGCAGCCCAATCTCTGTTAAGGCCTAAGTAGGTGCAAGACTACAAGTAACAATGATGGCTGGGAAGTCTTGTTTTGAGGCCATGCCCAAACTTAACCAGCCCTATGGATGGATCCTGAGCAACCCAGCTGTCATCAAATATACACTTCATCCAACACATGGCATCTACTACAGCCAAACCCCTCCTCGAAGCCACAGGGGAGTATTCCCCTTCTCCCTCACCTTCTTGCCCCTGTTGGAGAGGCCAGAGTCCCCTCCAATCTTGCCCATGAGGTTGAACTCGCTCTCTCCGTGCCGACAGAGATAAATGGTACGGGGCTGGACGTGGATGTTCATCAGGTAGTAAACAATCCTGCTCTGGATGTGATCCTGAACCCTGTTGACCAGGAACCGTCGGCCAACATCAATGACTTTGATGAGAGAAAGTTCCCTAGGGAAAGAAAGAAACATCATTCTCATGAAACAGCCTTGTGACTTATCTCCCTCAGCATAATAATCACCCAGCTAAAAGGATTTCCTGCAGGCTATTTTCAACAGGAAGCCAACAGGTAATGGGGATTCACGGAGAGCTGAATAACACCAGTGTAATCGCCATTCCTCCTTGCAGCAGTAAAGAGGATTAAACAGGACTAACAGGGAACATGCTCCTCCCCACAACAGGGATCAGCAGGAGTGGAATAATCCGGGTAGAGCACACAGACGTGTTTGTGAGCAGTGGAAAGGCTGGGAGGTGCCTGCAGAGTCATACAGGACAGCAAAGGTCTTCCCAGGGCACACAACTAGGCAGAAGCCACAGGGCTTGCTCAGTCCTGTAGTCTGAGCCAACCAATCCCTTCCTTTAAGTGGGACAATGACAAAAGCACCTCAACCACTCAAACTCAAGTGCTTTTACAAACCCTTTGTATTTAAACCTGCAGAACAGGGTTGAAAACAGCATATCTGAGCCCAGAAGAGCCTGGGAAAGTTTCAGTGCCTGACTCCCTGGCACAGGGCTGGGGAAAACCAGCAATTTCAAGGAAAAAGCCTGGTTTCGCGGTGAGGCTTGGCCATACGTTACCCTAGCACAGTCAGGTATTTGAACACAAAGTGAAATACAGCTTCAGCCTTCACTGCTTCTCTCCTGGGAGCAGGAGGGTGTTTAAGCCAGCTCAAAAGTCAGCAAAGTCTCTTACCTGTCGTAGTCATCAGGATCTAGTGGCTGGTAACTGGCTTGGTAACAGTTGATCCTCTTCATGAAGTCCTCCATGGCATCAGTGGAGTTACAGTCCCGGTAATCTGGGCTGGACAATTTGACTTCCTGTAAAAAAAAAAAAAACAGGCCACAAGGAGAGGTCAGGAAGGTCTCCCAGCCAAACAATGCTAATCTCGAATTATAAAGTCCTGCCAACATTCAGCAAACAGCTGAGACACTTTACAGTCATCACTTATCATGGGGTACAAAAGAAGCAAGTTAGACTCAAAAATAAGCATAAAGTGAGATAATCTGGTATAAACCATTGCATGGTTAGTACAGATGTGCATCAGTCCACTCCCATTCTCCCAGGAATTGCGGTAGCACCTCACCACCCAACACAGTGAGGAAAACTGAGCTTCCTTGTGGTTAAAAAAAAAGCATCAGGTTTAAATTCAAGCTGAGAATGGAAAGCGCACAAACTTAGACAAGATGTTTATCCTGGGTCAGCAAAAGGATATTTGCATAACAACATTCAAAGCCTTTCTGTGCACTATTCACTGCAAGTTACTGGGCTGACAGATACTACAAATGGGCAACACGAATATCCAGAACTCCCATGGACTGAGTTCTGCTTGAACTAATCTAACAGGCTATTTTCCCTGAAGATTTGGGTTTGAACAGCAGCATTACACATTAGTAACTTCAAAGGCAATCCTGAAACGAACAGGATAACACAACAGAGTGACACATGTGGCAGCATCCAGGGCCCATGGCATATTTTCCACACTGATCCCAGCACTACGAGCACTATTCATCTGCAGCACCCCCATGGAGCAGAATCCCACATTCATTTTCTCCCCCTTCAAGCATTAGTTTCCAAATAAAGGGATTAAAATCCTCAAAAAAAAAAAATCCAGTTAAAAAAAAAAAAATGCAGCAAACTGAGGGTTTTATTAGCGTCATGGAAAAGGCTGTGTGCAACCTCTCAAAGAGCTGGTCACTGGCCCTGGGACAACAGCTCCCAACAGGAGCAAAAGCCACGCTCCAGTCCCAGCCCAGCACCCTTTCTCCTTAGGGCTGCTCTCGATCCATTCTCCACCCAGCCTGTACTTGTGCTTGGGATTGATCGGACCCAGGTGCAGCACCTTGCACTTGGCCTTCTTGAACTTCATGGGATTGGCACAGACCCATTCCTCCAGCCTGTCCAGGTCCCTCTGGATGGCATCCCTTCCTCCACACCACACAGCCTGGTGTCATCGGCAAACTTGCTGAGGGTGCTTTGATCCCACTGTCCATGTCACCAGAGATGTTAAACAGCACCAGTCCCAATACCAAGCCCTGCCTGTCACACACGATTTGCCCTCAGTGAGGCCATGCTGGCTCTCTCTAATCACCTCCTCATTTTCCATGTGCCTCAGCATAGCTTTCAGGAGGATCTGATCCATGATCTTGCCAAACACCAAAGTGAGACTGACCAGCCTGCAGATTCCCAAGTCTCCTTTTTTATCTCTTTTTAATAACAAGGGTTATGTTCTCCCTTTTCCAGTCAGTGGGAACTTCACCGGATGGCCATGACTTCTCAAATGTGATGGATAGTGGTTTCCCCACTTCATCCACCTGTTCCCTCAGGGTCAACAGATGCATCACATCAGGTCCCATGGACTTGTAGACCTTCAGGTTCCTTAGATGGTCAAAAACCTGATCTTCTACAGCAGGTGACTTTTCATTCTCCCAGTCCTTGCCTTTGCCTTCTACAACTCCATCGGTGGGCTGGAGCACTTGGTGGTGAAAACTGAGGCAAAAAGTCATTGAGTACCACAGCCTTTTCCATATCCCCAGTATCCAGGCCTCCTATTTCCTTCTGGAGAGGGCCCACATTTTCCCTAGTCTTCCTTTTATCATCAAATGTACCTATAGAAGCTTTTCTTGTTGTTCCTGACATCCCTGTCCAGGTTTAATTCTGTCAGGGTTTTATTGTTTCTAACCTGATCCCCAGCTACTCAAACAATCTCTGTATTCCTCCCAGGCTGCCTCTACTTGCTTCCATTCTCTGTAGGCTTCCTTTTTGTGTTTGTCTAGGAGCTCCTTGTTCATCCATGCAGGCCTCCTGACATTTTTGATTACTTCTTTGTTGGTAACGCATCACACCTGAACTTGGAGATGATCCAGCTTTCTTGGTTCCCTCTTCCCTCCAGAGCTTTATACCCTGGTACTCCACCAAGCATATTCCTGAAGAGGCCAAAGTCTGCTCTGCTAAGGTCTCATTTCATGGTCACTGCAGCCCAGGCTGCCCTTGAGCTTCACATTCCTCACCAGCCCTTCCTTGTTGATAGCAACAAGGTGCAACACAGCACATTCTCCTTGTTGGCTCCTCTCTCTTGGGGAAGGAAGTTATTATCAACACATTCCAGGAACTTCCTGGATTGCTTGTGCCATGCTGCGTTGTCCCTCCAAAAGATACCAGGGTGGTTGAAGTCCACCATGAGAACCAGGCTTCTTACCTGTCTATGGAGGGAAAACAAAAGCAAGACACTTCCACACTTACCATAACATTGGTGGCAACCACAGTGGGATCGTTGCAGACAGATTCAATGAAGAACACCTGTGAAACAAAGCAAACCTCAACTGAAAGCCAACAAGGCTTTTAACACTCAAACAGCTCCCTGCCCAACACAACCTCCTCCCTGCTAGCCCAGAGAGCTCTGCCTCTGCCCTGCTCCCATTGTTTCCTTCTCCAGGACTTGTTACGAGGAATGAGGGAAGAGTTTCACATTTTTAATCAAACCCAGCAATGAAATATCCCTTACACAGGAGCATCATGAGGACAACATGTTAGTGAAAGATACACCAACAGTACACTAAAGGTGGACTATGCAATGCAGGCATCAGCCCCATGGTACCAACCTTAAATCCATTTTCTTTGGCAAAGTTTAGGATCATCCCTCTCCTCTCCCGCGTGGTATTGGTGGCATCGAAAACCTTTAAAAGCAAAGATTTCAGTTAGCACAACAAGTGCCTGGTTTCCCACTGAGCCCCTCCTCAGGGAAGAAACTGCAGAGCAAATGGCACAAGACGTTCAGGACTGGGACTTGCCAAAATCCCATGGAGCGCATCTCCGTTCTTACCGCAATCTGTCCAGCCTCTTCCGTCAGGTACAGCTTGACATCCCTCAAGGCAGCCATGGCACATTGCCTGCAAAAGAGGAGATGTGTAGTCCTGATGTCCTCTGGATGGGCTGGTGACCCTGAAGCTACCAAGCCCACACAGCTTCAGTTTTGAGCTCTTGGCACCCAAGTCAGGCCTCTTTGGCCAGGCAGGGAGAACTCAAAAGTAGAGCCCTGCTTATCACCCCCGAACAAACTGGGTAACTGTGCTCCAGCCATGGGCTTCACCAGGATGGAGGCAGTGCCCACACTTACTTCCTGACTTTCATGGCCTCCTCGTTGTCAGGACGGAAGAAGTCATAAGAGCTGTAATGCTTCACGGCCTCACGGCGATATTCCCCCACGTTGAAAACTATTTGGGAAAGACAAAAACCATCAAAATCAGGAGCTCATCTCATCTGTACAGTTTCTGCAATTAAAGCAAGCAAAGTGATGAGAAATTACATCCTTAGAGCAAAGGGCTCAAGGGACATCTCTTGATCTTGAAGTGAAGGAGGACCCAGGCTGCAGCAGAAATGATGGCAAAACGTCAATATTTGGACCATCCGATTTTGGAAAGCTCTCCCACTACATCCCAAGGCACTGAGCTCCTACAGCAACTCCTGAGGACCAGACCTCATGCTTCCCCCAGGAAGCCAGTGAATGCCTCACCTTTTGTAGGGACACCGATCCAGTTGAGGTAGCGGGTCAGCTTCTTGGAGATGTAGGTCTTCCCACGGGCTGGGAGGCCAACCATCACTATCACAGTGGGGGAATTGGCAAGCTGTGGCCCACAGGCTATGAGGAGGAGGAGAAAAAAGAACATGAGCAGCTGTGAATCCTCCAGCTCATCTTGTATCAACCCTACAAGGCACTTGCTCTTCACTCAGCCTTCCCCTAAATCCTTCAGCAGCCGAGAAAATCCAAAACCCATGTTCTTTGTGCACCATCACCTCTGTAATCTCTTGTACATCCCTCTCATGAGTTTGGACAACCAAGACCCTGAGCAGGAGGCATGGTGGATGGCTCCATGGCTTCCCACTGGTGAGACACAGCTGGCCCAGCTAAGCCATGCTGACCCAAATTCACCCTGGTGTCACCCAAACCAGGGGGGGATGACAGTCACAGCCTGAAAGCCACAGTAAGAACATCCTGATGGCTGCAAAGTAGGCAAGGAACCAGCAGCTGGCCCAGGCTCCCTGGAGAGTCTCCACCCCTCAGTTTCCTTACTTACAACCAAAAAAAAAAAAGAAAACAAGGCAAACACAACCTCCCATTTCTGTGGATTGGCCAATTCTGTGAAAAGCTGGAGGATGGCCAAGTACTTTGGTCCAGGTCCTGCAGCAGCACACTTCAGACACTGCTGCTGTGCTGAAATACCAGGTCTGCACAGAGATCTTCACCCAGAGAGCATCTTCCAAAATATTTGACTAGATTCTTAACTGATACACGAGCAAATGCAACCAACTGTTTTTCTGAAGACAAACAGGGTATGAAGACCACAGAACCATTAGCATTTAAAAGCAGATATCCAAGTAATTTATCCCTTTTTTCTCATAAACCTATTTTAAGCTGGGTTGTTGGTTTGGGGTTTTTTTTGTGGTAAAGAGCATCCATGTCAAACAGCTGGAAATAAAATCCAGAGGCAGCACTTAGCAATGACTTGGCAAGTGAAGAGAAATTCCTGTCCAAGTCACTTGAATGGCATGACCAAAATGCAGACAAATCAGCTTCCAGGCTGCCCAGGTGAATCACTTTCTCCCCCCATAAATCCTTTTGAAAGCAAATTCCTGGTTCAGTTCAGAGGAAACTGCTGAGGTTACAGGACTGGGAATACAGTTTGGGATTTTTTTTTTTAGTATTTTGCAGCCCCAGTGTCAGGGGATGCATCTGGACCACACATTCCGTGGAACATGTAATGAGGCAGCATCCCTCTCCCTTGGCTGCATCCCTGCTCCTCTCTAGGGCTTGCTCTGAAGAATTGCTTCTCACATGGTGCCGCACACGGGCAAGGCCAAGGCACAAAGCCAGGAAAGGAAGATCTTAATGATGCCTAATGGAATTTAGATTAGCCAGCTGCCTTTCATGCCACCCAGTGTGACACTCCAAGAGCCCTCCCAGCAAGGGCAGGACAGGCAAGACCCTCCAGGGGATTTCCCTCCCACCCTTCCATCCACCCCGTGAGCCCAGAGACCTCATGGGAAAGGAATGCAGGGAGTGAGTGGCTGGTGGCAGAGCCATAAACCCCAGCTTAATTATGGTCTAGGTGGAGAGCTCTGCCTGCCTGTCCCAGCTGCCTGCAGGTGGGACCTGAGGATGGAGACTCAGATTAGATCTGGAGAGGGCAAACAAAATTGAGAGGTATCCATAAAACATGCAAATTATGTGGGATTCCCTTTGCTTTCTAGGAAAAAAATAAATCCAACAGCTGAAGAAACCAAATTAAGACCACAAGGAAGAGTGACAGCACTGGCAACCAGACAGCAGAGAAGAGCCTCCCATCATCTTCCTCGTTGTCTCACCAAAGCAGACTCAGCAGGCAAGAGATTAAAAACTACCTAAAATATATTTTCTCTTTTTCTTCTTTTCATAAATATTCCACATTCCTCAGGCTGGAGCTGCCCTCACACTCACTCCCTTTGTAGAACCTGCCTCCCCAGTGCTGCGTTTCAAAAGCCCAGGGCAGCTCTCATCGATTTTGGCAGCAAGTGCCAATTTTCCATGCTTGGGTACCAAGGGAGCTGAGCAATATACCCAGAAAAATCTTTGTTTCCCCTCTAACAGTTTCACTTCCTCTCACAACCTATGGCTGCAAGTCTGGTTTTGCAACAAAACCCACACACTTATTAGATAAAGTGAGGAGGAGGGAATAATACCCAAATAAAGAAACCCTTCCTTTAAGAGTGGACAAAGGATCTCAATGAGCCAAGAGGATTTTGGGCCATTAATAGCAGTTCAAGAGGATGGGGACAATACTGGGTACTGTTCATGTGCCTTTGGCTCCAGACATCTGTGACAGTCCCAGATGTCTGGGACTGGGTGCTGCAGGAGTTAAACACCTGTAATTGAGGAATCTCCCCACAATCTGTTTTTCTGCCAAAGGAAAGATCAAGATCCAGGTTCCCCTTGGACCATGAAAAAGCATCTGTTTACAGACCTGGGAGCAGCTCCCAAAACACCAGGGTATCCAGCAAGGAACTTTTTATCAGGAATCTGAGCCCAAACCCAACTAAATCACAAAAGTCTCCGGAGAAACTTTGCATCAGGGATGAAACAGAAACCAGTGTTTTGCTCAGTGTTTCACAAAGACCTCATTCATAATTTCTTTTCACCACTGCTGGGAAGCTATCGGGGATTTCAATGGATATTCATTACTGCTTATCCATATCTAGCCAGGTAAGTCAAGGTCAGGGATGACTTTCAGGCTCAGTCAGGATATTTAGAAGGCGCTCATCACGTGTGGCTTACAGCTGCCAGAAAGTCAGCACTGATGAGCTCCTGTGCTTTACCAGAACAGGGGAGGGAAGGAAGCAAAAATAAAAAACACAACAAAACAATACAAACCACAAGAGGGAAGGAAACTTGCTTCTCTAACAGGTCGGATAAAACAGCCACCTCCCCACTTCAGGCACTTTTACGGTCTCCTCGTATAAGTGTTCCCCCACACCACATGTTCTACATTAGCCCTACATTCCCCTTCTGCAGCTTCTTCTCACTGCAATCCCCTGACACCTTCACGCATGAAGGTTTCTGCACTTTGCATCACACGCACACGTGGAACCGCTACCGCCCCGAAAACGCGCCAGCCGGGGTTTTACAGGCACAGCCCCCGAGCGGGAGTGATGGCAAAGAGAAGTGACGGGACAGAGAAAGGCAGCGGCAGCCCCTTCCCTCCTGGAGCATCCCCCTCCCGAGCCCCCTCCCCTCGCCTGGCTCTGCCCACCCGGCGCCTGCGACGACTTGACTTTCCCAGCCCCTACGTGAGAGACGTGCAGCTTGACAGCAATTTAATGGATCGCCGTCAAAAGGCCAGATGAAGGCACCACTTCCGAGCCACTCCAGCCTCCCACTGACGAGGAAGCGACAATCGGACTAATTATTTCACGCGCAGGGAGCAGCTTCCAGAGGATGCTCCCAGGGATGCTCCCGCTCCCTCCAGGGACCACACCGGCCGTGCTCTCCGTTACACCCCCACTTCCCACCCAGCTTTGTGGCTCTGCTCTTTGTTGCTGCTGAGGAATTAATAGCACCTCGAGTTTAAAATAGCCACCCTGTGTTAAAAAAAAATAAATTAAAAAAAAAATTTAAAAAAAAAGAAGATCTAAAACAGCCTAACAACCCTCTTCCCATATTGCACAGCAAAAAGTGCCCAGCGTGGCTTGTTCCCAGCCCGAGAAAAAATAATTAGAAGCCACATTACGTTATTAATAAGCCCCTTGGTGCCTTAATATACTAAATATGTTAGTTTTCTCCTCTACCAAGAGGGAATTCTCTCCTCTGAGAAACCAAGTGGCAAAAAGCACTGGGAGGCTCTGCGTGCACAAGGCATTTCTTTCAGAGGTGTCAGTCCCTGAGAAAAGTCAAGCCATACAGACACACGTGCAAAGCATTAAGCCATTTTACCCCACTCAGACCAAAGCCCCTTGGCAACCCAGATGTTCAGCCTGTTGCTGAAATCCCATTTCCTCAGCAGCTCCTGCTGCAGAGCTGCCCTTGCCAGGCTCAGGCAGCACGTCCCAACATCTGCTCCAGGGAGCCTGACCCATAGCCCCTGGCAACAACAGCTGGCAAATTCATAGGATATCTGCTTTTTCTAAAATTATTATTAGTTTTTTAAAAAGGGGATACTTTCCAGCCAAGAGAAATAAACAACAGAAGCGACTTTAAATGCCTGATGAAGAAAAGCATCGGAAAGACTGATTCACCCAACTGCCCAAGCCACTTCTATCCTCCATCCAGTGCCATCTCCTCCATCCCGGCTCTGCAGATTCCTGCGATGCTCATTTAGAGTTACACGGAGTTGCACAACTGGTAGGTTGTCAGTTTAGCTGTTGGGTGAGTTAAAGGAGCTGCCTCCTGAGCTTTCAGATTGTATTATGATTCATGAATTGGTTTATAGTAACACATTGGGATGACCCAAGCATTTGATTTTATATATATATATAATTTATTTTTTTAAGCACGGAGCTTGGTTTTAACCCCTCAAGGATCTTTCTGAGCTTCAAAGAGCACTGCATAAGTTTCAGCATTAATTTCTGCCTTCCCCTCCACCTGCCTCTTATCTCATCCCGCAGGGTTAAATGATAAAGTGCAAACGGCTGGGGTTTTTTTCCCCTAAATCCATTTCCCTAATCCTGCCTCCACCTCCAAAAAAAGGTAAAAATTTATAATGCACTAATTGGATGGGGCTTGGAGCAACCTGGTCTAGTGGAAGGTATCCCTGCACATGGCAGTGCGGTTGGAACAGGATGAGCTTTAAGGTCCCTTTCAATCCAAACCATTCACGACTCTGTGACACCCTGAAAATCCCTGCTGAGCCGGTGACCGGGCGCCGAGGTGAACAACCTGCTCCCTTTCCTTTTTAATCCCAGGGCTGGAAGCCGAGAGGGGGAGCGGGGAGGAGGGAGTGGAAATTGGGCCACGCGTGTCTCGGCACCTCCCCGCATCCTCCGCTGCGCGGGGCCATGTGACGGCTGCACCTTCCTCCAGCTCCCAAGGGCTGGAAGTGAGTCACGGGATGGCAGCGAGTGGGATGCGGGCACGGGGATGATGCTGGAGCAGGCAGAGGAGGGGGGAAGCGGGATGCTGCACGGATGCTGAGGGAGGAGGGCGCTGCAAAGAGCCCCTTCTGGGAGCGCAAAGGACGGGGACTGCTTCCCACCCACCCCTCCATCCCATCCCGTCCCATCCCGCGGGGATGCTGCGGTGCCCGTACTCACAGCGGCGGGGCAGCGCCGGGCGGTTGTCATTGGGAAGCCAAATCTTCTGGATGCGGCTTTGCGTCAGCTCCATGGGCATTTTTAAAACAAAGGTCTTTTTGCGCTCCGCGTCCACCTTGATGCGTTTGCGGGGGAGAGGAGGAGGAGAAAAAAAAAAAAAAAGAGGAAGGAGGGGGAGGAAATATGTAACAAAAAATAAAAAGGGTTTTTGCTGCAGTCGGTGGTTTCAGCGAGCGGCTGCGGCGCTTTCGGATGCTGCTGCTCGGAGCCTCGTGAAGGTTTTACGGCAGGAGGGGGGAGGAGGAGAAGGAAGAGGAGGGACGGGGCTCCAGGGCACAAAGCCGGGCAGGAACGGCACCAGCGCTGCCGCTGCGCGCTGGGAGGGAGCGAGGGCGAGCCCTGCCGCGGACTGCGATGGAAAGAAAAATATATCTAAAAAAAAAAAAAACAAACTAAAACCACAGCTTCCCTTTATAACTGGAAAAAAAATAGGGGGGTGAAATAAAAAAAAAAAAAAAGAGTAGGAAAAATCTCCACGCGAGGCAGCCGGGGAGAAAGGATTGAGAAGGTCTGCTCGTGGCGCTGCTGCTGCTGCGGTCTCGGCTGCTGCCCTACCCGGCTCCGCTCGCGATGTGCCGGCAGCTCCGGTGCCGCCTATTTCTATCCCGACAGGCCGGGCCCGGCGGTGCCCGCCCCGCGGGGCGGGGAGGGCAGGGAGGGGCCGGGCGGGCGCTGCGGAGCCGCGGAGGAGGCGGGGAAGGAGGAGGAGGATGGGGAGGATGGGGAGGAGGAGGAGGAGGGGGAGGATGAAGGGGGGGATGCGGCGCGGCCCGGGCAGTGCTGCCCCCCGCCGCCCGCCCCCGGAACTGCAGCGCGGACAAAGGACCCGCTTTGTTCCCCGCGGGGACGCGACCACCGACCCCCCAAACCAAAGGATGCGACAGCAAGGGGGGGGATTATGGGGGTGTCACAGGGGGGTGGGTGTGGGAAGGCTCCCCCGAGCTAAAAAACCGTACGGTTAAAAAACTTTCCCGTCTCGCTTCTCCCGTGTTAGAAAATTAATTGAGTAAAAGCGATAAAAATAATAAAACCAGTAATGATAATTAAATCGTTAAAATGGTGAAAAGGAAATAAAAAGTAAAAGGGGGAGATTAAAATGAAATTTAAAAAAAATAATAGTAATTTAGAAAAATTAAAAGGAGGTAAAGCGAGGAAATAGAAAGGGGAAAATAAAATGAAGTAAAGATTGAGAGGATAAAAAGGACATAAAAGGGAAAATATATGAGGAAAATAAAATAAACCCTAAGAAAAGTAGAAAATAACAATGGAGTAACAAAAAAAAATAAAATAAAAATATAGAAAATAAAAATGGAATAAAATTTTTAAAAAGGGAAAAAATAAACTAAAAAAAATAGAATTTTAATAAAATAAAAATAAAAATAAAATTAACTGAAAAAATCAAAACGAGAGAAACAAAATAAAAATTATTTTAGAGATAACAATATTTTTTGAATAAAATAATAAAGTGATAATAAAATAAATGAATTCCAAGTACACAGCAGTGGGACGGGGGGCTCCGCTGGCGCGCCCCCACACCGCGCTCAGAGGGTTCGGGCCGGAGGAACCCGGGGGGCTCGGAGGGGGCTCGAGGGATGCCGGGGGGGCTCAGGGGATGCCGGGGGGCTGGGGGATGCCGGTGTCTGCGCTCCTGCACGTCCCTCACGTCGCACATGCGGTGCCGGGGCCGCCTCCCCCGGAGGGGATGCCCGGGATGCGGCGGCTCCTCCTCCGCCCGCGGCCACCGCGGCTGCTCCGCCCCGCTCCGCGCCCGCATCCGCGCCCGGGAGGCGCCTGGTCCACCCCCCCCCCGCATCCCTCCGTCCCTCCCCGCAAGGGGCTGAAGCGGCGGGAGCGCTGGGGATGCTCCGCGGGGAACCTTTGCCCTCAAACGGGTGCTTAGTATTGATTTATTATTTATTTATCTTATTATTTTGAATTTATTAATCTCGCTGGTTTCATATTTATTATTTGTTATTTCATTATTAATTTATTAATATTTTAATATTTTCGTTCTATTATTTGTCTATCTGTCATGTATATTCGCCTATGATAAATATGTAATTATTATTATTATTCTTTTTTAAAATTTTCATTCTTCTATTAGTTTATTAAACTCCTTAATCTGCTCTCCAGGTTCCTGCAAGTCTCATTTCCACCTTCAGTTAGGCTGCAAACAGCACCCCAGCAATACTCACACCCTGACACAGCCTGTGTTTGCAGCACAGAGGGGTTGGGACATCGTCCAGGAGCCACTCAGAAAATTCCTATGGTGACACTGAAGTGCTAAAGATGCTCAACACCCTCCCCTTGCACCCCAACACTGCCTTAGCTATGAGGATTATCCCACCTGGCACAGAGGGGTCCTTTTGGCAGGATGCTGGGTGGGAACGTGCCACAGCAGGGAGAAGTGGGAATATGTGAGAGGTGGGAAGAGCCGCAGAGGTGGGAGCATCTGCTTTGATGGGGTTTAATAAAGCAAATTTTGCTTGAAAATTTAAAGCCCGACAAGGAGCATCTCAGATACTTAAAGCATTCAAACCCCTTCTTTTATTATATAGGGCATTTTCCTCCCCTGGAAGCAAAGGCTTGTATTTGTTAACACATCTAGAAAGAAGGTATTTTTGGCCAATTCCTTACATGGAGCCAAGATGGATAGAGTAAAAAATGCACAATCCTTCCCTCTCCTACACAGGGAAAAAATATTCACAGGCAACAACAAAAAAAAAATGAAAAAAAAAAAAAAAAGAATTTTTAAATAGCTACTATGAGGGAGCTGGAAAAGAACCAGATTTGGGATGTGGGAAGGAAGATGGGAGAGAGCAGTGAGCGCTCCAGCTGGCAAATGTGGGATGGGGATCAGGCACAACAGCGGTCCCTGGACCACTGTGCACAAAATCCATCCTTGGGAAAGGCCAGGAGGGTTGTTTTTTTTCCAAAATCCCCAAATCCTTTTCACATGGAGGGCAACAGAAGCTCAGTTGCCAGCTAAAACATGAATCAGAAGTAGGACAAATATTCACATGATGTTACAGGACAAGGAATTTGGGCATCATCCCCCTTCCTCCAGCAGCTCACTCTCCTCTCTGTGGCTTCACAAGTCACCACCCCCACAATATCAAAAGGAGCCCGAAAGCGAAACCCTGCCTGAATTAAAATCACAGTCACTTCAAATTAGCTCCACCTAGTAACTCTTGGCTTAAAAACTCCTGAATAACTGGAGCGGAAAGCTTCAACTCCTAAATAAATGGCCTGGATTTCAGGGGCACGAGCACCCAGCTGCTCCGAGGGAGGTCAGCTGGAAGAACCATTACTATTTATAAGGCACTTTCACCCTGGGGAGAGGGTGGTGAGCAGGATGTCTCACTAGGTGCTCTGAAAGGATTATTTCTCCCCTCTCAAGTTGTGCCATGCAAAATCCCAGCTCCCTATTAATAGCACCCAGACCGGTAAATAAGCTGTTGCTCGCAGCTGCTGTGAAAGGAGCCCACGGAGGTGCTTAGCTCAGCGATTTTTCCAGAAAGCAAGTCACTGAGGGGGAGGAATGCTGTCAGTAAGAGGTGTGTCAGCTCGCTGAGAGGCACAACAAGCACAGGATGCCACGGGACAGCCAGGGATGCTGTCCCACATCCTCTACTGCGCTGTGTGATGGAGCATGTGGAGGGTGGGATAAACTAGCCAGTGCTGGCTGGAGCTGCTGCTTCACCCACCCCATCTCAGGGACCATTTAATAAATGCAAAGGGACAGGGGTATAAATGTAATGCAGGGCTTAAAATCTGAAAATCCTGGTGGTGGATGGGGGAAAAAATGACCTTGAGTGTCTGAGGGATGAAGGCAGCAGGTACAGAGAGGTGGGAGAGGAAAGGGCAGTGCAAAGAGGGGAAGTCTGGCAGAAAAGGGGGAAATAACCTGTTTCTGTGAGAACAGTATACCCATCTCTTACAGGGCTTACAGGCTGCAAACTTCTCCAAAAACATCAGAGCCAAACTACCTCAATTCCCTCTTATGTTCCACTGCTGCTCTAACATTGAACTCACCTAGTAACTCATCGTGAACAGTGGAATTAGGCTTTGGATGCATCCTACCATAAGAATCCTGGACTTAATTCCCCGTCCCCTTTGGAAGAACCCACTGGTCACCAGCCAGCCTCTCCTGGCACCCTGCCCCCGGCATCAAAATGCCAGCACCATCAGCAATTGCTCTGACGAGCCCCAACTCTGACTAAGCTGTGATTCATCCTCCTCTTTTAATGTTTTCTTTTTTTTTTTTATTCCTTTTTTTTTTTATATTCTCCAAAGGAAACTTGGAAGGAAAGGACAAGTCACGTTTTTGCCTACGTTCGGTGCAACACGCATCGTCTCCTTAGGACGTGGCATGGGGGTGCAGTGGGCATGATTCCCACTGGGATCCGAGTTCCACGGTCCAACCCTGCACCCAGGAACTATTTCCATGGCTAGAATTTGGAAGTGGTGGCTGGGAGCTGTGTGGACATCGCCCTATGGATGCGGCCTTACGTGTGCTCTCTTATTGTCAGGGCAGCTGGATCCGGCAGCAGTTTCCAGTATGGCCTTGGTTTACCATCCTGGAACATGGGCACAAAGTTCACAGAATGACAGAATGGTTTGTTTTGGAAGGGACCTTAAAGATCATGCCATTCTTACCCCCTGCCATGGGCAGGAACACCTTCTACCAGACAAGGCTGCTCCAAGCCCCATCCAGCCTGGACTTGAACACTTCCAGGGATGGGGCAGACACAACTTCTCTGGGCAACCTGTGCCAGGGCCTCACCACCCTCACAGTAAAAATTCATTCTTAGTATCTAATTTAAACCTACTCTCATCCAGTTTAAAGCCATTCCGAAGCATTCCCTAACCTGGAAGAGGCGTTGCAAAAGTCAGGCAGCAGCTGCCCAAATTCTTGTTAGTGCATTAATGACACTTTCTTGCAACAGAGAAAATTATTCCTCTGGACTGACTGAGGGGTATTTGTACAGGTTTTTGGAAAAGCAAAGCAAAACAAAAATGTTGAATTTTGCACTTAAAAAAAAAAGGGGGGGGGAGAATACTGAAAAAGCCGAGAAAATTGACTGCAATATTTTCGGGGAATTGGAGACTTTCAGAAATGTCAAGGAGGAAAACAACTGTTTGTCCTGTCCTCTCACCAGCTGGATGCTGAGCAGTTTTCACTGCTGATGCCTCTTTCTTTGGAGGGACTTGAAAAAGAGCTGCTGAGGGTCAGGCTCCCTGTGATAAATGGCTGATTTTTATCAGCAAAGGCTGATAAAAATGTTTGGATTTGTAAAGGCAGCTGGAGTTCACGGTCCATTGTGTC